CACATTTAAGTATTTTGATATATCATTGGAACACAAAATCTTATGGTGGTGACATCTGACGGTGTTGACAAATTTGGCATTTCTTTCACAAAACCAATGGAGTTCATGTAGTAGCCATTTTATTTTTTTCTGTTGATGCTAGATGCTAATGGAACCTGCTTCAGGAGAATACAATTATCTAAATATTTCAAATAATTTCCTCAGAAATTGGAAGATGGTGTTGACATATCATGGCTGTGACACAGGAAATATTAACATTAGGATTTAAAATATTCTAAAACTAAAACTTAGCAGAGCCTGTCTGACACTGCTGTACTCTGCAGAGGTGAACTGTGGCAAGGGGGTCCCCTTTAGAGTGACAGCTGCCCCTGATATTCCCTGATTTTATTACATTTTAATAAATGTCTGACGGTGTTGACGTAGGGGGAAACTTTAAAATCGTATGAAACATGCATGTGTCATTAAAAAACAACCTTGCTTTGATAGGAGATATTATTAATTGTTGCTTTTGATAAAACAAGCTCTTTTTCATCATTAAAAAAAAACATTTTTATCCATTTTATTGCATATGAATGCTTGAACCCTTCTCTGTGGACACACTGTTTTAGATGTAGTGAGAGGACATTAAGAAACACAGATTTGGTATAATAATGAGAAAATCAAATTGAAGGTGATAATTGTGTTAAATACATTCTATTATAGATCCGAATTAAAAAAAAAATTCTAAATAGTCTTCTGTAAAATAAGCACCAGACCTGTTGAGAAACACATTTTAGCTTCTTCATATAGGCCTACACACATGGTTAAATGACAAAAAAAGCTTAAACTCAGTCCAAAAAAAGTCCACAGGGCTAAAATGCTCAAAGTTGAAGAAACAACTATGAAGAAACTTTTTATATGATTTCAATAATCTCACTAGTTTAACAACCCTGCGAAAAAGGCATCTTAAACAAGCCTAAGTACTAGACAGACATGCATGTAATGCTAACCAAATTACAGCAGCCATGTGTCTTACACATTCCTCACAATTAGGTTAAAGCAGCAGTGTTATCTTGTTGTGTTAAATAGTATTTTTTCCCCCTGCTGACAGAATTTGAACAGTCCATACCATGGTTTTCTGCCTACTTTGCCAGAAGGATCCTCAGAAGGATTGTTTTTGGAGTTATGTGAATGTGATATTGGGTGGGTGATGGTCTGGTGATATGATTCTCATTATCAACTTGTGCACTTAAAAGACTGAGAACATTATTGTTCTTTCTTTATAGGACCATCATGTGGAAATCAAGGAAAACATCCGCTTCCAGGAAGTTCAAAGGCCAGTAAGTATACAATCTAGGCCACATAGATTGTAATTAATAACAGATAATTGTTTTTCAAATCATCAGCAACAGATTCGTTTTATTTCCTTTTATTTGACAACAATAAATACATTACATAAATTAAATCTCTCACTTATAAAAAGAAATTCCTTCATATAAAAACTATAAATATATCAGTGTAAGAATAACTCTATACAGTATCACCTACCCAGTCTGAGCACATGATTTCACATTGGCATAAGCTGATATAATCACATGACACTTACATATTCATTCACACCATGCACTTAAAGCAGAATTAATCATCAATCTATTCCTAAAGTCGTTGTATGATCATACATTTAAAACAACCAAAGCAGCCCTTCCTTTTAATTCACAATGTAAAAGCAAGCAGTCGGACATAGAGTGCATTCATCAGATTCATGTTTTGATGTCCTTCATATTTCCTCCACACAGTGACACACTGACGTCTGGCAGCATTAGAGTTCCAGCTCTGGCTCGAGGAGCTCATCTGAAGTAAAGCTGCTGTCTGGATAATAGAGGACATTAGTCTGACCATCGGTCTCTGGGTTTAAAGAGTTGCATAATTTGCAGCAGAAATTGTGATTGGATTTAGATCTAGCTTTTTAACAGACCCTTTAGTTTACATCATCAGAAATTGAATCATCGTGTTGTCATATCATATTTAAAGGTTATTTTGATAACAAACAGTGTTGGGGAAAGTTACTTTTAAAAGTAATGCATTACAATATCGCGTAACTTCGTAAAAAAGTAACTAATTACGGTACGTAGTTACTTTTTATTGAAAGTAATGCGTTACGTTACTTTTGCGTTACTTTTTAAATCTGGGCTGGGCTTGCTTGTTTGCTTTTAATATAAAAAGTTCTATTTTTGGCAAACGTAAAAGCCCTTTCACACCAAAAGCCTCAGGCTGAAGGAAATATAAATTAACGTCTGTACAGTATACACAGAAGAAGAAAGTTCAACACACTTCAGCAATAAAAAAAGAAGAAGAAATGTTAGTTTATCTTGTGCAATTTTTGCTTATTAGTATGGTTGAATTGGATCACTGAAGGTCAGCAGCAAATTGGTTAATAAAATGGGATTAAATACATAAAGGATATTTGTATTATTTAACATATTTATTTATTGCAGCTTTGAGTCATATTCTGAGTTGCTTTTAACTGTTTTTATTAATTTTGAGGAAAACTAAATCTGATTTTTTTTTTTTTTTGTGAGTGAGTGTTTGAGATGAATTAATGCATGTTCACATAGAACTACAGTAACATCTTACTCCTGATTTATCTCAACAAGGGGACAGGAGAGCTTTCAATCAATAAATGGGAAAAAAAAGTAACTGGTGTTACTTACTTGAAAAAGTAACTCAGATATTCTCTTGTAAATTACAAAGTAATGCACTACTTTACTAGTTACTTGAAAAAAGTAATCTGATTACGTAACTCGCGTTACTTCTAATGCGTTACCCCCAACACTGATAACAAATAATGTTAAAATAGCTGAAATTGGTGCTAGATGATTCTAATGAATAAAACTGCAAAATAATGCTTACCATGCAACCAAGTTCAACGCATTTCTTTGATGTCAGGATTAAGAGGTCCCTCCACTAAAGGCATGTGGTCCTTTGTAGATTTCTTTATTCTGATCTGTCACGCCATCAACAGGATGCCTTTTTGTTTTAAATCACACACACAAGATTATTAGATTCACAACTCCAGGCACATACGCTATCGTTCAAAAGTTTGAGGTCAGTAAGATGTCTCTTAATCTCACCAAGGATGCATTGATTTGATCAAATACATTACAGTAAAATATACTAATACAGTTAAAACAGTAATGTTGTGAAATATTATTATTTAAAAGAACCGTTTTCCATGTGAATATAGTTTAAAATGTGATGTAAAGCTGAATTTTCAGCATCATTACTCCAGTCTTTAGTGTCACATGATCCTTCAGAAATCATTCTGATATGCTGATTTGATAATCAAAAAACATTTCTGATTTCTGTTGAAAACAGTTGTGCTGATTAATATTTTTGTTAAATACGTGTTGTTTTTTTTCAGGATTTTTTTAATGAACAAACAAACAAACAGCATTTATTTGAAATATAAATCTTTTGTAACAAAATAAATGTCTTTACAATTGAATATTTTTGATTAATCCTTGCTGAATAAAAGTATCGATTTCTTAAAAATAATAATAATAATCGTACTGACCCAAACTTTTGGATAGTAGTGTGAACTGATTCATATATAATTTGCAGTTTATTTAATGTTCCTGATATTAAAATGCATCCTTCAGTCTCAGTTTAATATAATGCAGAATTTGAATATTTGGATGAACCAAACAAACATTTCTGCCGACTCCTCAAAGTGAATGTGAAACCCAGGATTGTGCTTGAGCTGAAGTCGTTCTCTTACCCGGCAGCACCAGGATGCTGATGATTATGGCAGCGATGGCAGTGACGTTCAGCTTTATTGCTGGGTTTCTGAGCACAGTGCAGTCTGCAGAAACATCACAGTCACACACATGAAGCGAGAGGGTCTGGGCTGAATGCTGGCCCCGGCTGTCAGAGATCTTAAGGGCGACTTCATGATCTCCTGCAGGTACAGCGCTCTCTTTGATCAGTCTCACAGATGTACCTGCGAGGAAAACGGAAATTACAGAGGAAACAGGTACATTTGGTTGCTATTACAATGTAAAACAAGATGATTTTTTCTATTACCATAGTTAGACTGAAGCCTCCATTTCCCTTGGACGTCTCCAGTCAGCTCAAAGTGTAAAGGCGGGCTGTACAGGTCTGGATTGAAAGCTGTAACGTCAGCCGTCTCCTCAGACAGACACATGGCCAGTTTGTTGGCGTCCAGCATCGGTCCAGTCTCCTTTCTCTCCATTACACCCACTTGTTTCATCATCTTCTTGAATACTGAGGGGTCACCGGCATCTTTCTGAATAAACGGTGATTGGAAAGGACATTAATGTGGATCTGGACTTTCCTCAGTGGTAGTCTATTGTATATATAACCATCATCAAAAACAATTCAACCAGCATAACTCGACTGAAATAGCAACATCTGAAAGCTCTGAAGACAGAAACAGGTTTACACTTTGTTTACTTACTGTTCTCTCAGTGAGATCTGGTGGATGGTTGTGTTTGCCGATGAGACGCAGTATCACTGTGCTTGTGCTGGAGAGCTGCATCTTCTCCCCATGATCCTTTGCTTCAACCAGAATAGTGTATTTTTGGGTCTCCTGCGTTGAAAAAGGCACAGCGAAGTTGAATACTATATCTGTGTCAGATGATCTTTGACCTTTTGATCTAAACAGCTAGCATGAATGCAAACTCCTAATTCAATCGAATACAAAATGAGATTGGGATTTATTGTAAAATGTGGTAAATAGTTTTAACACAGAATGAGATGAGTGCAAACGTTTGACTGGATAGTGTACCTGATTTACCAAAAATGTTAAGATTGTCTAATACATTCTGTTAAAAACAGTAAAAGATAAAATGTAAAATTGGGGGGCATCTGTCAAGTTCTTGGAAATGTATTTTCTGCATTCATTTTCAAGAAACATTTAAATTTAATAACTCTAATAATGTCATGTGGTATAACCATTACATAAAAAAGTAATAATATATTTACCTTGAATAAGTGTACACATCATCATTTTTAAAAGGGGCTTTTAATATATTTTAAGGTAAAATATTCATAAATATTACTTTTATTGACCTTAACACGCGATTACAATGGTCTGTAGAGGCCTTTTATTTTATTGTAGATCTTTTCTACAATAAAAATACATTTTTGATGATGTTTTTCAAATATCAATTACCAGTAAAGCAGTTTTGTAAAAAAAAAGAACAAACTACCTAATTCGTTTTTTTTTCCTTTTCAATAGTTTTATTCTTTTTTTTTTTTATAAAATATGGCTTTTTTTTTTCTTCATTATGACACTAGGACAGTAATCACTTTTACATTTTTGACTGACAAAAAATCAAAGTGATCTTTCAAATCTTAAAATCAAAACAAATTCTAATATTGAAATTAACAACACGCTTGTCACAAATCCGCTCCGTGGTCTTCCGTCTGCTCGCCACCAGAGGTCGCCTTCTGATTACATTGACTCTCACACCACACAAACTGTTGCACGTCACCCTGGACTACATTTTCCATGCTCCATTGCACTGATTGGACTCACCTGCAGCCAATCACACACACACTATATAACAACCACTCAATCCTTCTCTAATCGCTGAGCATTGTTTAGCGCTTGTCGTTTTCCCAGTGATAGCTACATTACGGAGCCTTCTGCCCTAGTTTCTAGTTCATAGTTTCTAGTCTAGTCTAGATTTGTCTTGCGATTACCTGTTACCTGATTATCTGCCTGTCTTAGAATTCGCTCGTCTTGTCGTTTGGACTATGTTTGTACCTTGCCTGGATTATTGCATGTTTTGGATTACCTGTTTGCCTCGCCCTCTGGCTTACGTTTGCCGATCGAAGACCCACGCTTGCCCTAGGAATACTCTTTTGTCTTGCCTGTGTTGTACCAGTGTTGTTGTCTGACCCTTGCCTGTTTCATGACCACGCCTCTAAATAAAAGCCTTGCATATGGATCCGCAAACCTCACATCTCATTCGCCCCGTTACAATGCCCAAGATGTATTCTAATTGTGTGAATGTTTTTTAATACATTAATAGACCCACCCAGACAACACAAATGAACATCATGTTATTGCTCCATATTCAATACTGATAACACTATTCATTTGTCAATGGATGCATGAATGGATGTTGAATATTTGCAGGAATTATAATGTTAAATAATACATTATATCTGCAGCATAACATTGACAAAATGACTTCAGGATGGAAAAACTGTGTATATGTTACCTCATAATCAAGGGATCCCTTTAAATATATGGTTCCTGTCGGCTCTCCTTTTTTTTGCTGCATGAAGAACTGAGGTCTGGAGGTAGAGGGAGACACTGAGGCGATTCTCAAAGTAAACTGTGAGTTTGCTGTGCCAGGCTGGTCTTTGTCGGTTGCCAGCACTGTGACCAGAGGCTTACCTTTGGGTAAAACAATACAAAGAGGATCAGGTCAAATGTTGCTCTTTCACCTGGAAACCAACAGGTTTTGTATATGAGAGTCGGGACGGTACCTTGTGGTGTTGATTCATCTACTGTGATTTCATACACGTCCCGATTAAAAACAGGAGCGTGATCGTTAACATCCAGAATATCAATATCCACAGCAACTATTGTGTTTTTTTTAGAAAGTGTGATCTGCAAGTCAATAAAATAACATTCAGTATTAACTAATAAAAATACTCATTTAACTTAGTCGCTGCTTATTGTAGGACTTACTCTCAGTCTCTTGTACTCCTCATAGTCAACTTTTCCATGAGCGTAATCTGATCCGTTGCTGTCAACAGAGAGAACCCCTTTGGGGTCCTTGTTGATGCCCTGTCCATGAATGGAGAATTCTTCAATAACTTTCTTTTCAATATTTAACTAAGAAAGGATGGAAACATTCAAAATGATTCATTTGATTGAGAACAACTCAGAATTCTGTGCTCATATAAACAATTATATTGCTTTCTTGTTTTCAAGAACCTAAGCTATCCATGTTTTAAAAACTTTGATTTTAGTTTAATCAGTTGATATTCTGCTATAAAGTGGCTGATTACTATAGAAAGGTTTCAGTATAACCTACATCTCCCAGTTTATATGGGAAAGGACCAGTGTGCTCCTCTTCCATGGACAGGGAATCCACAACCCAGGCTCGCTTTTTGCGTATGTGTAATTTTGATGGGGTTGCACACTGAATACAGACATTCTGGAAAAGACAATATTAGACAAAACATTGATCAGTTAAAAACTCAATAATAAATTTAGTTCATTTCAAGTTCTTACCTGTTAGCTATCATGTTCTGGAGGATACAATGCAATGGTAACACTTTATTTTAAGGACCCATTCTAACTATTAACTACTTGTTTATTAGCATGCATATAGCATATTGGCTGTTTATTAGTACTTATGAAGCACAAAAAATAATGCCTTATTCTGCATAACCATATTTTAGATCCCTTAATCCTACACTTAACAACTACCTTACTAACTATTAATAAGCAGGAAATTAGGAATTTATTGAGGCAAAAGTCATGAGAATTGGCCCCCAAAATAAAAAATGCAACCTATGCAACTTGTTACCAATAACAAGATTGTTTTTACAGTATTTTAATATGAATTATTTGCAAACATTTACTTTCCGACAGGTACATTTTGCATTCCATTGTGCTTAATATAAATTCAACATTCATCGGATATCTGTCACTAGTCATTTCCAGTTTTTAAAAATGATCTGCACACTTAATCTTGCCTGAATGTCATTATGTTTAATGACAAAAATACTGTAAATATCCAATAATTCATGTGGAATATAGCACAAAAAACTCTGAACATTATTAAACTAGCCAGAATTAGTTATTTTAATAAACAATATTTGTTTTTACAAAATGAGTAAAATGTTTTTGTAACACTTTATTTTACAGTGTCCCTGTTACACGTTACAAGTACTTATTGCAGTATAATAACAGTAAATTCTGCATTAATTACTTACAAGCAACTAACCCTAAACCAAACACTAACACTAAGAAAGTGCATGGCGTTGATTAATATCGCTCAGTTCTTGTAATTGTATAATTACACTGTAAAAAGGACACCTTAAAATAATGTGCAACAAAAATTATGAAACTGATCAAAATAAATAAATAAAATCATTTTTGTTACTTACTGCAACAAGGAAAACAATCACAACAGTCTTCATTTTAAGCAGCGAGAAGATCTTGGTTTTATCTTGCTTTAGGTTTGCTTTGAAGCTCATGTGAAGCAAGCTGGCTGTTGCTTCTTTAAATAGCCAAAGGAGGATGATTTGACAACATTTCTCTGGAAACCCAATGAATCCGATTAATTTTTAACAGCTATTAGCACCCTATTGTCTCATGAGCTTTCTAAGGAAGGATGCATGAAGGATTCTGGCAAGAGTCCAGACATTCTTAAACAGAACAGAAAACAAGTAGTATGACAGGCTTCTAAAACAGGTTCTGGTTTCAATGAAATTGAAAATAAAAAAAATGAATGAATTACATATGCATGAACTTACATTGTACATAGATTTAAAAAGACAGGCCTTCTGTTTGGTGTAGATAACAGTGTTTAATCGGTCGGGAGTGTGTTTATTGTTGTATTCTATGGAATGAGTTCAGCTTGTGTTTCCCTACAGCGTAACTTTTACAGGTCAGATATTTTATGAATCCATTTATATCCTTCCAAGCAAACAAACCCCACTTCCCATTACTGACTAAACACAACATACTGCATAAAAGCTATACTCTCAGTAAAGGTTTGTAAAACAGACGTACTGTAAATAAGCCATGAAAGCATATGCAGTAGGCCTCTCCATATTATGTAATGTGTTTAATGCAGCTCTATTGACTGCTGATTTTCATGTTTTATGGTAAGCAGGTATCAGTATTTCCAAAGTTAGTTTTAAAATCATATTATTCTGTGATCTGCATTGAGGATTTCATTTGAATTGTGGCCAACGGAAAACAAATTCAAATGTTTTTTTTCTCTGTTAAGTCAAACAACAGCATGCAACTAAGATAACACCAGCATTTGGCCATTTGTGATCAGCTATAGTTTTCTAAATATAGTGTCAGATCAGAGGCCTTTGGTGAAAGGAAAAGGGCATTTACAATAGTCAAAGGAGATGATCAGATGATCAGAAGATGTCTTCGAAGATGATTTCGACTTTTTGAAAAGACTTTGACTTTTCACCTATAGAGTACACTTTCAATGTTACAGAAGGGTTGGGTCTTAATTGTTGTCTTTAATTGTGCAAAATAAATATGCATAGGTCATACCAAAAACATTTTGCTAGACCAAACCAACTTTGCTTTTTGGTTAACTAGATTATTTAAATAGGGAAGATGGGATTTATGGGATTTAATACCAGGTGTAGCAGTGTAATTCTGTAACATTTTGCTCTCTAGTGAAAATCTGATACCTCAAGGCACTCAAAAAAAAAAAAAAATAAAATTAATCAATCAATCAACAAAGAAAGAAAGAAGAAACATGTCTCATGAGCAGACAAGTAGCTTACATTCCGCTGTTGTTTTGACTTGTTGAAAATGTAATGTTATAACATTACATAAGTTTGGCAATGACGATTGCTATTCATATCGTGTAAGGTAAAATGGAAGAGACTATTATAACTTGGCTGGGCTATTTATAGACAAACAGACCAAAGTAGTAATTAGTAAACATATACACTGGTAACATAATGTAATGTGGGGTTTAGGTTTTGTTTTTGTTTCCTGTTCATGTCCATGTCTTTTATTTTGTAATTGTTTCCTGATGTTAGTGTCATGCTTCCCTTGCCTCATGTCTCTCTGCCATAAACATTGTTTTGTGAATCTAGTCAATGTACAAAAAATATATGGAAGCTTGTTTTTGCCACGGGATGAAAAACTAAAGTAACGCTTTATTTTAAGGACCAATTCTCACTATTAACTAGCATGCCTATTACTAGAATATTGGCTGTTTATTAGTACTTATGAAGCACATATTAATGCCTTATTCTGCATGACTACATTTGAGATCCCTTGATCTCTACCCCATACCTAAACTTAACAACTACCTTACTAACTTTTAATAAGCAGCAACTTAGGAGTTTATTGAGGCAAAAATCATAGTTAATAGTTAGTTAATAGTGAGAATTTATGTGACCAAGACTCAGAATTCTTATCTGTCTCTCAAAGAGATGGACTAGAATACTTTTGAGACCCTTCTGTTCCACAAAGAAACATTCACACAGCCCCCATTTCTAATCATTTTTTTTTAAGAGGCAGGTGAAGCTACATAAGAAAATGACTGTTAGCAAATTTATGCAGGGAATGGCAGGCCAGAAACAGTCTATGATTCCAGCTGAGCAGAGGGACTTAAGTTTTACTGTGAAGTACGTTTTCTCTCGCAATTCTGAGTTTATATCTCACAATTTCTGACTTTTTTTTTTTTTATCACAATTCAGAAAAACGTTAGAATTGCAAGATATAATCTTAGAATTGTGAGATATAAACTCTGAATTGTGAAATAAAACGTTTTTATTTTTTATTCTCTAGTGGAAACCAAAAAAAAAAAGTAAACTCAGAATTCTGAGAAAAAAGTCAGAATTATTATTATTATTTTATTCTGTAGCAAAACCCAAACAGAGGCTAGAGTGAGCGACTTGAGAACGGCGCGGCCGGCGGATTCGACGATGGAGTGTCCGGAGGGCTTGCTGCAACCAAATGTGACGACCCCGACATGGCAGCAGCAACAACAATACTACAGCGAGAATAAAAGTTACGCCTTCTTTCTTTGTGTGAACATTTGGACGGCTTTATGCAAATCTTCCCACATCGTGACGTAGATATGTGGGGGCGTGTTAGAACGAGCCATTTTAGGTAGGCGTGGTTGACTCTTAACTTTTATAAAGTTATAAAAGTTTATAAAATCTCTTTGGATTTGAGACTTTAGTCTTTGCAACTTTACAGATCTTCTTTATGCACCAAGAGCTTGTAACACTTCAAAGAAAAAGGACAAATTTTAATCGCATCATATGACCCCTTTAAGACATGGAGTTTCTTTTCATAATGTTTAACTAGTTAACTTGAAAATAGGTCAGCATTTTTCACGTGCCTTTTATTAACAAAGATAAATAAAACTGTTTCCTTCTTGCTCATTTACATTAATTGTAATTGTTCTTCATTACTTGATTAATTGTAATAATTCATGTAATTCAAGTCAGAATTCTTTGATCTACCTTTTTTGGTAGGCAAGTAAAACATTTTTGACATGGTATTTGCTGTACACAATAGTTGTTAAGTTTACAGTTGTTTACTTATTCTATGTGACTGAATATGTATGATGCCATTCTGTACATGTGTAAGTGTCACATTAAATTAAGTACAATTCATGTTTAAATGTTTTTAATGGCCCCTGTGGATTGAATTTCAGAATTTCAGTCTTATTGTTGTCAACATGCTGTTTAATATACTAAACCACAGGTGTATCTCTTCTATAATGCTGATTTTTAGGCCATGCTGGAGAGAATCGCTGAAGTTTGTCCCTGGAAATCAGGGTAGCAGTCCACTTCAAATGAACGAGACTGGACATGTCTGCTGATGAGTGAATTGAACAAAGTGCAGGTATGGCTGGTTTGTATTCGGGTGAGGGAGAGAGCACTCAGAGAGTTCTGAGCCTGGCCAATTCGTGACATATTTATACACACGTAAAAGAAAAATTTTTTTTTACACAACATATATGCAAATATTCTGTAAGCTTACATACGATTTTATACAGTCTTAGGACATATATGAAATATCCATGGTAAAATTAGTATATATACACATTTATTACAAATATTTATATTATGAATTTTGTATGGTAATGTACAGTAAGACCATTTATGTGAACAATATCTAATTTATATAGTTTATTTAAACAACATATATGCAAACATTCTCTATGCTTAATCTTATTGCCAATCTTATTATTCAATACCTGGCATGGTTCAACTTACAGTAAATATGAATGTCAGACATTTACAAGTATATTGTAAATCAGTAATTATAACAGTAATTATAAACTGATAATGGGGAAGTCGTGGCCTAATGGTTAGAGAGTCGGACTCGTAACCCAAAGGTTGTGGTTTCGAGTCTCGTACCGGCAGGGATTGTAGGTGGGGGGAATGAATGTACAGCGCTCTCTCCCACCTTCAATACCACGACTGAGGTGCCCTTGAGCAAGGCACCGAACCCCCAACCGCTCCCCGGGCGCCGCAGCATAAATGGCTGCCCACTGCTCCGGGTGTGTGTTCACGGTTTGTGTGTCTTCACTGCTGTGTGTGTGTGCACTTTGGATGGGATAAATGCAGAGCACTAATTCCGAGTATGGGTCACCATACTTGGCCACATGTCACGTCACTTTTTTTATAACTGATTTCCATTTGCTGTTAGACAGGCGGTGTTGTTCTTTAACAGGAGCCACTCAGATTTCTTATCTCCAAATGATGAACGTTCTGATTTCGTCACATTCACAAGTGTCATGTCACCTGTTCAACACAAGAGGGCAGAGTAGCCCGATTTTTGACCACCTCATATCATGTATACCTATTTGTAATGTGTAATACAGTTGTTTTTGACCAAGTGTGTATTTTAAATAGCATGCATGTTTTACATGTAACTTGAATATCATGAAAAGCACATCTTGAGAGCAATCATGGAAATCTCACCAACATTCAACATTCAACAGCCAACAATACACCAATATAGCGGAGAAAACAGAGATGTAACACACACACACACACACACACACACACACACACAAATGCAAATATATTATATGGGCTACTGTTTTATATACAGCTATAAATACTATAACTTAACCCTAACCCTAACCCACATTATCCCTTGTAAAATAAAACTTTATGCTGTTTTATTTTACAAAAAAATGATACATTTATAAATAAATAAATAATTTATTGTATGAATACATTTAAATTATTGCCATTCTGGACTGGAATATTGTATTTTTTTCAGTATTCTCCATATAATTTTTTGTACATATTTTCATCAGAAACATTAATAGTAGATATTCCCCAGTGGCTCAACATCCATGCTATTTATTTTATTTTATTTTTTTTATCAGTAATATTCCATGTTTTAGGATGCAAATGATTTATTGTTATCGCAGCTAATAGGCAACATACATAATTTAAATATAACTGACAATAGATGTTTGTCTCAATCTCTTCTTCTGACCTAAAGTTCAACTTAAGTG